ATATTTAATAACCTTTGTCAAACTGCACTTTACACTGCCTCATCAACATTTAAGTAATCCAGTTTAAAACAGCTACATTACATGCATTTTTTAAAAAAAGCAACTACAACATCTGAAAGAAAAAAATTTATAGAGAAGAAATGAATGTCATCACTTTGTGACGATTACACTACCTCCCTCTCCAGCCTCCCCCAGCCTCCTCCCTGGCAGCCATGCTCTGGCTGTTCTTAGCTGCTCACCAGGCCCTTAATTAGCCACATGCTCCCCAAGCCCTCTTAGCTCATCTCGCCTGGCAAGCCTTTCTCACAATTCTCTTAGTGCTGAAATTACCCTTCTCCTTGGTATGTTGCTGTCTTGGTAGCACAGGGTTGGGCTCAGTGCCTCACAGTCTTAAATGAGTAGCATTCAGAAGACACACCTGACCCATTAGTCCAGATGAGCTCTCAGAAATCTAAATGCTTACATGGCACAGTAATAAATGTGTGATGCCTTGCTTGGGTTTCATTTCTGTTGGTCCATCTTCACACTTGGACCCCCTCAGAACCCCCACTCCAATCTTACTTCACACTCCTGCTTTCTGAGAGGAAAGAAGAACATTTTCTGGGATGGAGTATGAAGGAGGCAGAAATCTCTGGAAAGAGGCAGTGAGGCAAAGTGTGTTTTAGTGGTAGGGTGACATGCCACACTCAGGGGCAACAACCTGTATGTGCTTTGACATTCAAGATTTGTCTTGTATCTACTTGTCTGAACGTAGAGGGAAATAGCCTCGCTGGGGGACCCACATAGACAAGGGGCAGCCTGGACAGAGTTGGGTAGCTGCCTGAGAGGTCTAGGAGGAGAGAGGACCTAAAAGATCCCCTAAGAACAAGTCTCCCATACTTCCTTCCTGGAATGGTAGAACTTCCAAACTTCCTTGGGAGTTGAGAGTCAGTATATAGGAACAACACCATTGAAGGCACTATGGCCCAAGCCAGAAACCAGATGGAGAGTTCAAGGGGTTGAGTGGTGGCCCCCAAAAGATAGGTCCATGTCCTAACTGCAGAACCTTTGATTGTGATCTTATTTAGAAAAAGGGTCTTTACAGATGTAATTAAATTAAGTATCTTAAGATGACATCATCCTGGATTATCTGGGTGGACCCTAAATCCAATGACAAGTATTCTTATTAGAGATATATACCAGGTAAGCACAAGATATAGGGAGAAAGAGAAGGCCATATTAAGACAGGGGCAGAGATTGGAGTGATGCAGCCACAAACCAAAGACACCTGGAGCCACCAGAAGCTGGAAAAGGCCAAGAAGGATCCTCCCCTGCAAACTTCGCAGGGAGTACTTCCAGTTTACAACCTGATTTTGGACTTCTGTCCTCCAGAACTGTCAAAGACTATGTTGGTTCAGGCCACCAAGCTTGTGCAATTTGTTACAGGAGCCTAAGGAAACTAAAACTAACACAGAGTGTCACTAAGAAGCAGAGATCTTAGCAAGGGCTGTAGGAGCTGAGGTAGTGACTAATTCAGCAGCGAGAAAGTCCAGAGTCCCCAAAACAAGCATCATGGCTTCCCCTGAAATATGACAGAGGAAAGGTCACATGGCCACAGTGGGCCAGTTGGTGATGACAATCACATCCTTGACTTTAAATCAGCCCTAGAAAGAAAAGAAGCATTTATTCCAATGTAACTGAATTTTACAGGACAAAATGGGATCTAGCAAGATTCAGTTTTCAACTATCAGTGCAAATGGAGGGCTTATGGACTAAATTAAATTCAATTTTAATAATAGCAAGAAAATTATTTTCATTTCCATTATCTAAGTTTATATCTGCAATTTTTATATGGGCTATACTATATATCAGAATTACTGGCAAGGGTTAAATAAAAATACAATAGCTGCAATTCGTTGAGCCACATAGCTTGTGGCTAGTAGAGCCTGCCCACTAACCGAGGTCCCCAACCACAATGCTCTTTTCTACCAGGCTTCCAGCCTACGTCCACTTAATTCAATAGTGAACTTCTTCATGGTGAGTGCAATATTGCATTTATTTTCCTGGCCGGGCAGTGTCTGGCACATCAGTGGAGTCCAATCAAATGTCTGTGGAATTTAATCGAATAGCCTAACCTCACTGTCCTTAAGTAGCCTGCCATCTGTCTGGTGTTGGGGAAATAATTAAAAATAAAATCTGCCAATCCGGGAAATCTCCCCACCTAAGCAGACGAGGAAGAAGACAATTCTATTATTGGGTGAGCACTAAACCAGGCTGCGATGGGCATCACAGGCAACCTGCTAAGAGACTGCAAAGACAGAAAGTAACTCACCCTTTTATGCATATCCCACAGTACATCCATGTTCTCAAGATGGAAATAACAGTCCTCAAGTAAAAAGACTCTGCAGAACCACTTGTTATATGTAGTTCCCTGTAAATTCCCTGGTAATTGGGGTGGTCATCTGTGGCAGCTAATTGCCTTTATCCAAAGGAAAAATCCAACTTCTCTGTGACACGTTGGTTGTTTTGTAAGGGGTGGCGCCAAGTAGCTAAATTACACACATCCCCACCCATGGAAAAGGGATGCTATTCCTGGGCTGCAAAATAGAAAAGGGTTGTTTAGAACCTCAAAAATGATTTGTATACATCTCAAAGGGACAGGGGAAGAGTTTACAAGACAAAATTTTCTAAGGAAGTGCTCCTAGAGAGGGGAGGCAGATAATTGCTTTCTCTTTTTTCATCAGGAATTTTTTTAATTTTTAGATTTTTGTTTGCCCTTTCACTAGAAAGATAGGAAAATTGGTTAAATTAGAACACAGAGCCTGCCCAAGTGCCAATGAGCGATAGAAGTGGTGTGAGATAGCTCGTACTCCCAAAAGACCTTGAGGTGGACATCTCTGAATCCTGGGTGAGGTTGGCAGGAAAGATAAGATTCCTCCTCTGCTATTACTTGTCATCATAACATCAAGCTAAACATCAAGGTCACGAGAAGAGAGCTAAACTTGGAGTGAACTATGCAATGTCCTGTTTAGAGTATAATGGTTGGTTTAGAGTAATCCTGAACGTATCTGTGCTCAGATGCCCATAGTGTGGCAGACATGGGAAGATCAGTAAAAATCTATGGTAGACCATTCTGTATCTTCTTTTAGTTCTGGTAAAATCCCAAAGGACATGCGATGAAGAGGAAGCGTACTGGTACTTGTCCCAAGCCAAGTATATCCTGTCAAAATGTAATGATGTTTTAGAGGCTTCTTTTTCCTTGTTATACTTTCATTAAACTTGGAAAAGAGTTAGCCATTAACTTATACATAATAATCTCTCTGGTACTTAAAAGGTCCTGATGACTAAATTGCCTTAACATTCTTACCTTCATGCTTAACTGTCTAATATTAACAAGTGGAGCCTTGGCCACTGTGGTGCAGGCTCAATTCCAGGTCAAGAGCACGTACCTGGATTGTAGGTTTGACCCCCAGCCTGGTCAGGGTGAATTTGGGAGGCAACCAATCCATGTGTCTCTCTCACATCTCTCTCTCTCTCTCTCTCTCTCTCTCTCTCTCTCTCTCTCTCTCTCTCTTTCTTTCTCTTCTACTCCCTCCCTTCTACTCTCTCTAAAAATCAATGGAAAATATATCCTCTGATGAGGATCAACAAGCAAACAAACAAAAATATAAGTGGAAATAATTTGTTAAGAGAGAAATTGAGAGGAAGAATATAAATTAGGAATAAAAATGATTATCAAATGAATGTGGAATTTTAGAAGTCCAAGTTGAAAAAGGGCTAGAAATTAATTTTTTTTAATTGTGCATTTTTGTTGTTTTCTTTATTTTACCTTATTTACCCATTCCAAAAGAAGTATATACCTGTGTGTGTTTTTTTTCTTTAATTTGGAAATATGGTGTAATAAAAAAGGGGGAAATAACTTTTAACAAAGGCAAGCAGCATGAACATCGCTAAAGAAACTTATAGCCTTTTCTCTATTTCTTTTTGTACTCGGTTGTTCTTCCACCATACATACTCTTATCTAATATTGCAGTATAAGCATTTTTAACACTAACAAAAATTTATGAGAGCATTAGTTGTCTATTGCTATATAACAAATCATGAACAACTTAAGAGCTTCCACCACAATACACATTTATTATCTCATGCAGTTTTGCAGGCCAGGAATCTGAGACAGGCTTAGCTGGTGTTTCTAATTCAGAGTGTCAGATGAGTTTCTAGTCCAGATGTTGGGCCTGCAGGCTTCCATTGGGCTGGAGTATCAACTTCTAAGATGAGTCACTTGTGGCTGTAGGCAAGAAGCCTCGCTCATCACCACCCGGACCTCTCCATATGGCCCCTTACGTGTCCTCGTGACATGGCACTTGACTTCTACTACAGTGGGTGAGAGAGAGAGAAAGCAAGAAAACCCACAACATCTTTTATCACAAATGATCATTCCCATTTCCTATTGCTTACACATCCCAGCTGTATTCATCATGGTGGGGACTCACAAGAGTGTGATAACAAAGACTCATAAAAGTGCAAACACCAGGGGGACTTCTGCAAGACTAGCTACCACAACGAACATTTTTAATAGCTGCATGAATCTTATCATAGAGATCTCTATTTAACTGTATTAACTGTTTATGTAAGGTTAGATATTATTTCCAATATTTCATTTTTATAAACAGCTCTATGAAGCACATATATAAAAATGTCCTGAGTTCTTCAGATTATTTTCTTTGGATATGGTCTCAGAAGTGGGATCACTGAGTTATTAAAAACTTTTTACTTAATTTCCATTTTAAGTTGGCTTCATAAGCAAATGAATATTTATATTGCTTATTTCCTTCAAAGTATTGCTTATTTGGGATAAGTTCCTTAAAATACCTATGCAGTGATTCACAACTACATGTTTATTTTCATTTAATGTATTCTATATGGTGTATATTTTAGGGAGATATTTTATATCATATATAGATAATATTTTGATACTTACAGCATGTGGGTTTTTTCATTGTTATTTAACCATTTTATAGATCCTCCTGAGTTTGTTTGTTGCTGTTATTTTGGACAACTTAGAACTTGATGAAGATCTAAAGAAGCTTAAACAAGTAAGTAATATATGGGGGATTCTTAAAACATGTATTTACAGGTAACATTAAAGCAGTTCAAACTTTGAAGTAAAAATATAGATTTTTAATAAATTACAGCAGTCTAAGTTGGCAAAGTATTTTTTTGTTTAATTCTTATTATCAGCAAAGGAAATTTTCTATTGCTCTATAATTATCCTAGGGACATTTTTACATTATTATTATGAATAAGGGTAAGATTGATATAGTGCAGTAAATTGGACTTGGAGACTACTCTCCTTCTGCCATTAAATGAAGGTTGTTTGAAAATGAAACGCTTCGGAGACAAGTTGCCTTTTTACATAATTATATGTGATATTCCTGACCATCATAAAAATATTAAGCATCAACTTGCCTTACCTATAGATACTAAAAGAGGATTTAGTCTGGGTATCCTTGGTGATTATAAGAAATGGAATGAGTAAATGATCAACTGTGCCCAGTTAAGTATGAAAACAGATTGGATGTTATGGCAATAAAAATTGTATCCAAAAAAAAAAGAAAAGAAAATGTATGAAGATTGTGTTATTGATTGCAGAAAGATTATAGGTATGACCAATCATTCTCATAGTTTCTGTTACATGGAGGATACTTTGCTTGAATATCTGGCTCTATGGCAGACCCTTTCAGAAGGAGAGTGGGTGGGAGAGAAGGACACTGGAGCAGATATTCTTGCATTATCCTCCCCAACACTGCAAGAATAATCAGAATGCTTCCAAAGAGTACTAAGTCTCTAAAACAAATCCTATCTAGATCAAGGAGGCCCTCCACCTTAGCATTTTCAAATTGCATCTGAGTGTCTATTTTTAACAAAGCAGAGACATAATCTTTTAAATTGTGTTGTTGTCATCTTCATATGTGAAAGTTACTTTAGGCATTTCATCTTACCACTCTTGTTTACATCTCCAAAACCTGTTTTAACTAAGGGTTTTCAATAAAGAAAAAAAATGAATATAAATATGCCCATGTAAATAAACTATGTGGCGCTTTGCTTTGAGTATGTATCATTTGTTTTATTAAAGTATCACTGATATATAGTAAGTTTTATTTAATTACTCACTAGGTATTCATGATGCTTTGTTTTTCTGAAAATTCTATACTTCAAAGTTGATTATCCAATTCTGCTGGTCTATAATTTGGAGTATATTCTTTGAATATTTAGAAATATTTGAGCATTGGAAATCCAAATCATAAGAAAAATACCAAAATCCAATTATATGAGTACTTTTCACAACTTTTTTTAGCCATAATTGGACTGAAATTACATTTCTATTAAATTAATCTATTCATTTTATACTTGATACTCATTAAATTGCTGTGGACCAAATATTGTTATAATAAACTAAAATGTTCTTGGTTCACTTTCTTCTATTTTTGTATAAAATTACTTTGTGTTTTCATTAATTTGTTTTAATGTATATTTTATTGATTTCAGAGAGTAATAGAAGCAAGTACCTCTTTATTTTTATTGATTTCAGAGAGAGGGAGCAAGAGATAGAAACATCATTGAGAGAGAATCATTGATCATCTGCCTCCTGCACATCCCCTACTGGGGACTGACCCCGCAACCTAGGCATGAGCTTGACAAGAATGGAACCTGGGATTGTTCTGTCTGCAAGCTCACGCTCTATCCACTGAGTCAAACTAACCAGGGCTGTTTTCACTAGTTTTTAACTATTATGTCATTTTTTATGACCTTGGTTTTCCTTATTTCTTTCATCTTGGTTTTTGAGGTAAGGCTCATTTACATAATTTCAAGAATACAGTCACACACACCCATCCCCATGCATCCTTTTATGCACATAATGATGTGGATACCTGAAACTTTAGACTGCCTTTTATGGCTTCATTTAGATCTTCAATAAAAATGTTACCTGAAATATTTGTTTAGTTTTTCATGTGCAGGACAACCCTTAAGCATTTAAATGTATATACTCTATTTTTGCTATTCCCAGATAGAGACTAGAAAGTGGGAAATGTGTGTGTTGGGGGGGGGGGGGTGGTTCTTAATGTTTGAAATTTCAGAAAGCACTATATAGTATTCCAAAGCTTCTCTGTTTAGTTCTAACTTTTATTCATCTTTTATTTTTTTCTACCAACTAGTCTACAGGTTTGTATTCCTCCAGGAACATTTGTTGAGAACTCAGTGCTAATAAGTGCCAGAGTTAGGATTTGAACCCAGGCGATTTGGATTAAAACCCCAGGCTTTTAGCCTTCACACTATATTGAGTTGAGCTAAAGCTGTGTAGATGTCAAACAGGAGTCATGCCTTATGTGAAAGAAGGCTCACTCACAGGACTTTTAATTACTTTTAATTACATATTTTATATGACAGAGATGGCATTATATTTATGAAATAACTATTGATGTAAGAGTCAGTTTTCTGAGGAATGAAGATGAATTAAGTAACCTAATCATTAAAACTACCCAAAATAGTTCTGTGTTTCTCCTTGAAAAGCAGATGATCTAATCAGAGCCACTGGACAGTTGCAGACTGTAAGAGCTAAAATGCTTACCATTCACGCCACATAATGACAGATGCTGCCCAAGGCAGCTCTTCTCTCAGTGACCTTCTGGAGAAAGGATCCTCCTTAGACACAGACATCAAATGCCTGCAGCATATTAACATGTCAGCCAGGTCTCTAGAGACACTTAATCTATTTTATTATGATAGCTTACTAAAAACAATTGTGCCAAATTATAAATCTTGGTTCTTAGACATTTTTCAAGTGTAATAGAAACAAGTACCTCTAAAATGGAGAAGTTAAATATGAGATATTAAACAGATCTATTAGAAAGAAAAAACAAGTTCTTATACTTGGGGGAAGGAAATAATGTCCCTAAACATGGGCAAAATGGGAGACCATGGTAAAAAGCTAAATGGCACAGTGAAGGAATTAGAATGCAAGAGAAGAAATAAATGAAGAAGTAATCTAGGAAAACATTTCAGATATAAAATTAAGGGAAAGAGCATGTATTATAACTAACTATAATGTGGTGATAAACTGGGAGGACTGTGACCAAATCCACAGTCAGGAAAGTGATAAAGTCAGGTGTCCAAGTGTCAAAGGACGCCAAACCTTTCAGGGAGAAGTTCCCCAAGGGCAAGTACGGTCTACTGATCACTTATTGGTGCACTTGTGGAATAGTATTCTCTTTAAGTAGAAACATGGTGTCATATATATATATATATATATATATATATATATATACACACACACACACACATATATATATATATATATATATATATATATATATATATTTCCCATTCTTTTCTGATGTCACCTCCTTACCCTTTAAGACAGTGATTTTCAACCAAGTACTGCTGATCTCTAGGGCTTTTTAAGAGAAACTATAGAGCCAGCAGTCCTTTTTACCACTACAGGAAGCCAAAAGGGAATTGTGTGGTTACCCAGCATGAGACCAGATGTGCTCACTAAAATGCCAACTTTAATACCTGTAGTTGGATATCTGCAAATTCTGTGTGACAGCTCAGCTTCCCTAACACTGAAACTCTGATGTTTCTTCATCTGTGCCTTCCTTTCAGGAAAAAGAAGCAATACTGAGTTACATATTACTTAATAAAGGCATTTTTATAGAGGGGAAAAAACTAAGATGGAATTCAGGGGAAAATAAATGAGCTTCTAGGAATGAATTTTGAATGGTTCTGACATAGTACCTATTCCCAAAATCCCCCTCTCCAAGATATCACCAGAATTATGCCTTAATGGTCACTGCTACAGCTTTTCCTTTGTAACACTTCAAATTAAATAATGTAAATAATATCCATGTACAGTTCATCTATTGATTTACCTGTGTGTTGAATATAAAATGCAATCTATTCCTAGTAGCAATATACAATAGCAGCAATCAGTTCATAGTGGCATAATTTACATGATTTCATAGCTAATTAAATAAAGATCATGCTTCTATTTTCAGCATCCCTAAAATCCATTCTGGACCTGGATGTGATAGATGATAGATAGATAGATAGATAGATAGATAGATAGATAGATAGATAAATAGATAGATAGATAGATGATAGATAGATAGATAGATAATGGTTTCCTACATAAGATCAGAACATTGACTAAGAACAGGATTGCTAGTGAATGTATAATTGGTTGTCAAGAAGCCAAATAAGTTTGTATGGAGGCTAAAAAAACAAAAACCCTTGATTTAATACTATACTCTGAACAATAGGAGATAATGATATTGATGTTCAGTGATGTTGGAATAACACTTGGGAATATAGGTAGAGTTTTGCAAACTTTGAAAATGAATAGAATAGAATTCTTGCAGCTTTAATTATTCTTATAATCCAGTGCAAGGCAGATATAAAGGCTTTTCTTTTAAAGAAGTATAAAATTCATTGCACTATGAAGGAGAGGAACCCATAGAAAAGCCTCAGAGAAAGAATGATTGAAAAGGGAACTATATAGATAGTCTGTTTAGATTAAATTCAAGGCTCTGAATTTAAACTGTCTCCTTAATTCTATATAATCTCATTTAAATCCTGATTTAAATTTGACGATGTTTGGCCTTTGATAATGTCCACTGCATATTGGTGGGGTGGGAGGACAGATAAAGAAGCCTCTTTCACTTATTGAACAACTAGAGGCCCAGTACATGAAATTTGTACATTGAAGGGGGTTGTCCCTCAACTCAGCCTGCACCCTGTTCAATCTGGGATCCCTATGGGATCAGGCCTAAACTGGCAGTCAGACATCCTTCTCACAATCCGGAACTACTGGCTCCTAACCACTTGCCTGCCTGCTTGTCTGATTGCCCCCTAACTGCTCCCCTGCTGGCCTGACTTATGCCTAACTGCTCTCCTGCTGGCCCAATCGCCTCCAACTGTCCTCCCCTGCTGGCCTGATTACCCCCAACTGCCTTTCATAGTTAGCATATTACTCCCCATTCTGTAATATAGCTTAGAGAACCAGGAACTAGTGTAGAGTGTGGGGAAGGGAAGAAGG